CTGCTAGGAGACATGCTTTGCAGAAACTTGCCATCTAACTGGGGCCGACATGGGACACCAAAAGGAAACATTTAGAAAATACAAGATGTTATATGAATGCATGCCATGACAAGTAATTAAAATAACTGCTGTTGTTTCCACTAATGACACTAATCTTATTAGCATTCCCAAATAGGTCCACTTTGGAATCCTATGCTAATAGCTTTAATACTTTTGTCTGAAAAAATCTAAAATATACACCACGTTGAAAATTTCTGTGTTTAGAATTTTTAAACTTCAGTTCCAGTGACATCTGGTCAAGCCCTTACTTTACCAGGAAGAGACATTTTCATTCTCTAGAAAATTGAAATCCCAAAAAGTTACCAGTTTTCCTTTATATTAAAGAATGCTACCCTCAGCTCTAAAGTTCTTTATCAGGAAGCCTTAAAACACTTCACACCCTTATCGTCTTCTGTATTTTAGCCAATCTTTGTTTATTTCAAGTTTCCTTCCTTTGTTGGGTCATGCCAGTCTTCCTTCTGGGGCCCCTGCCAAACAGTGCCAAGTACTTCCAACAGTCTCTCTTTCCTCGCCTTATTGTCTTTGTTCCTTTAAGTACATCTCCTGGTATTTTCCAGATGCTTTTTAGAATTGATTTTGGAGGGGAAAAGTTGCTTTCTACAGTCCTACAGCATTTGGTCTAGCCCACATCTCAGAAATGTAGTTATTCTTGATATAGTCCATGATACTATTCGTAAGTATGTATTGGTTTAAAGACTATAGTTATCTACTGTTTCCAAGATTTTAGAACCCAAATATTCATATGTATCAAATTATTTTTGTACAATAACTTGCAAGGTGAGATGTCTGGTGCTTCTCAAACATTATTTTATGTGATAATAATAATTTATTACTCCACAAGCACAACTTAAAAAAAAAAAAAAATATATATATATATATATATATATATATATATATATATATATATATATATTATTGATTTTTTACAGAGAGGAAGAGAGAGGAATAGAAAGTGAGAAACATAGATGAGAGAGAATCATTGACCAGCTGCCTACCCGGGATGTGCATGCAACCAAGGCCTTTGACCGGAATCGAACCCGGGACCTTTCAGTCTGCAGGCCGACGCTCTATCCACTGAGCCAAACCTGTCTCTGCACAAGCACAACTTTTAATTTCTATTTTCAATTTATATCTCTGGAGCTTCTATCTCTTCAAATGTGTAAATGACATGAGATTTGCTAATCTTTCATTCAAATTAATAAACTATGTATGATTACAGTGTCTTTTTTACTTTTCACATATCTATAATGTCCAGTTTCCTTGGAAATCACTTGAAATTCTAACAATAATTATTTTTTGTGTTTTTTGTGTGTTTTTTTATCACCTTCATTTGATATTGGTCTTTTATAAAGCCAAAAGGACTCATTAACTAGCACTAGCCTTTGTTAGGGAGTGGTTAGGGTTAGGAGAGTGCTCTTTCCTCTACACCCTCGCTCAAAGTGGATGTAAACAGTTCTTACTTTTTGCCAATGTAGTATCCCCAATATGGTTCCTTATTTTTGTTTTATTTTCCATTTCCCTAGTTACTTGGTTTAATTTCATTCATGTTTCTTCTTCAGTGAATTTCCTAAGCCATCTGCTTCTCATTAATTTCTCTTTGCCTCCATTTCCTTAGCTGTACCCTTAGTACAATATTGTTGTGAAGTAACTGTTATGAAAATACTCACATATTAAATACTAGCAGCCCAATGCATGGATTTGTGAACATTGAAAGGATGTTAATTAGAAGAAATATTTTAATATTGCTATTCACATTTTTTCTATAATAGAAGTGTCAGAGATTAAAGAAAATTAGTAAAATGCATATAAATATATAAATTGACTAATAAATAAACAATAACAACAAAGACATGATATAAAAACATTGGTAAAAACAATGACTGATAAATTGATTAAACTTATTCTGATATCTCCCTGTATACCACATTAAGAGTAGAAACACTTTCTTAATGTGGTATACAGAGTGCTTGAGTAATTTCTCTGTGATGAAGTATTTACAACTTTAACGTCACACGCTCTTTGAACTCGAGAGAAAGCAACATATAACTTGCCATGTCCGAAAACAGGTTCAGGTAGGAATATCCCTACTCTGTCTAGAATTTGTCCTTGTGATTTATTAACAGTCATCGCAAATGCTGGCATCACAGGAAACTGTCTTTGAATTAATTTAAATGGGAGGCCAGTGTCAGATGGGGACAAATCAGTTCTTAGAATCAGAACAACCTCTCTTTCTACAGATCCTGTCAATACTTCAGCTTCACTTATGTTAGTCGCAATCTTTTGATAATAAACCTAGTATCATTACAAAGACCCCATTTGCTATTAAGATTTCTCAGTAGCATGATGATTGCACCTACTTTCAATTTTAATTTATGACACGGCATGAGTGATACATATAAAACTTCCATCGGATTTCTTAATAGTATGAAATGCATATGACAATAATATATAAATTGATTAATAAATAAACAAGAACAACAACAAAGACATGATATAAAAGCATTGGTAAATGCTTAAGAAATTTTAAAAACTATTAAAATTAAGAAATTCGATGGGAGATTTATATGTATCACTCATTCATGAGTCAACGTTTATTTTTAAATTTGCCAGTGTATGTCATATGTACCGGCCAGTGAGCTGGTGAGTCGGTCAGACAGACAAACAGTTGGTCACTTAGCCTTTTATATATATAGATAGACTAGTGGCCAGATGCAATAAATTTATGCAAGGGTAGGCCTTCCTTTTCCTGGCTGCTGGCACTGGCTTCCCTCTGGCACCCGGGACCCTGGCTTCCCTCTGGCCACTGGCAGGCACCTGGGACCCAGGCTTTCCCTGCCGCCCCAGCTTCATCCAGAAGATTGTCTGGAAGGACATCTGGTCTAATTAGCATATTACACCTTTATTATTATAGATTATTATCAGTGGGTCTTTGTCTTTTCTAAGAAAAATAATAAATAAAAGTACTATTTTAAAAGTGTATTCAAAATTATCTTCTCTGTATTTTTTGTATGCAGTTTTAAAATTTGCTTTTTCTCCAGTCATACTGAAACACTATATACATTGTATTCAGACTAGCAATAACAATGCATCAGAGAGAAATTTAATGAACTACTTTAAGTTCTATTACTGTAAAATGTACATTTGTCCATAGTATTATCCTCGCACAGCTTCCCCAACACAAAAATGGTATATAAAACCCAGCATTACTCGTAAAAGACAGATATCTAACTTTCTCCTTTCCCAGACCAGCCATACAGAATAATCCACTCCATAAATACAAATGGGCAGTTGTTGCTTGGCTCTTTTATATAAAAACTAGAGGCCCAGTGCACAAAATTTGTGCACTGGTATGATCCCTAGCAGCTGCCAGCTGCTGGCAGGGGGTCTCTCTTCCCCCAGCTGCCTGCCACTGCTGCAGGCTGGGGCCTCCCTTCACACCTGCCTTGGCCTGGTGTCGCCCACTCACCTACTCCACTATCCTGCCACGGTCCTGCTCTTGTTGGGGCCCATCAGGCTGGCAGTGCCTCTACTGCCACCCACTGCCAGCACTGCATCCCTGATGCTTGCCACGTGCTGTGCCCCCCCCTGGTGGTCAGCACACATCTAACTCTTGGTTGGTGGAACTCCCACCCATGAGGACAATTTGCATATTAGCCTTTTATTATATAGGATGTGGTACATGTTCTTCTCTGGTGGAGGACATGAGGAACATCGTAATAGCTAACATTTATTGGTTGCTTACTTCATGCCAGGCATTTTTCCTCATGCTTTGCATATGTTAACACTGACCTTACCATGGGGCAGGTACTATTAGCATCATCTCCATTTTAGTCGTGAAGAAATGAAAGCACACAAGGTTAAATAACTTGCTTGAGTAGGTTTCATAGCAAGAAAGTAGCAGAGTCCTGATTCAAACTCAAGCTATCTAGCTCCAGAGCCCCACTCATAGTCAATGCTGAACTTCCATGACCAGTATTTGAATAAAATAGTAACAGAAGAGAAAGTAACTATAAGAAGGTCATGGACAAGGAGGAAAAGAAATAAAGTGGAAGATGAGAGGAGAAAAAATAGAGAAAAATAAAAAATAAAATAAAGGAAGGAAGTAGGAAAGAAAGAAGTGGGGAAAATTACCTTCTGATTCTTGCTGCTAACCTAGTGGCCCACTTGATGGAGCTTGTTCATAAAAGCACCAATGAAATGCACTGCATTGTGGGTATAACTCATGCTCCCTAAGCCCTTGGCCCAACCACCCCTTCAAGCCCACATACAGGCATACTTCTTTCAACTTGGGAACATTGTTCTGGCATCTCCTCTTGCTGTCCTTCTAAGATTCACAAAAATTGTAGAGGTGTGGACTCTTATGAAGAAAGATGAGACTGACTTTACACTCATCATCTGATTTGAGCTTTTAAGCATAATATAAGGTGGAGGACAAATATTTACAAAGTGTATTCTTAAAATATTCTAGATAAAACAATGAAATTTGGATTTAAAAAAATTAAATTGATGTTTAGAAAGAGAGAGGAAGAGAGAGAGAGAGAGAGAGAAAGAGTGAGAGAGAGAGAGAGAGAGAGAGAGAGAGAGAGAGAGAGAGAGAGAGAGAGAGATTTGTTGTTCCACAGTTCCACACATTTATGCATTCATTGGTTGATTTTTGTATATGCCCTGACTGGAATGAAGCCCTGAACCTTGGCAAATCAGATGTCACTTCATCTTCAACACAGTAAAAAAGACCACAGGGAATTATTACATGACAGTGGTACTCAACCAGGGGCAATTTTGCACCCCTGACTCTCAGAAATTTGATGATATCTGGAGATAGTTTCAGTTGTCTCAGCTGGGGCAGGGAGAAGAATACCACTGGCATATACCAAGTAGAGGCCAGGGATGCTACTAAGGATAGCCTCTCAGAATAAAGGACTGTCCCACTTGATATGTCAATAGCGCTAAGGTTGAGGAAGCCCTGTCCTGTAAGACAACGCTTCCCCGACTCAGGCTAACACTACCATCCAGTGGCATGGGAATTTGTTCTCTAATAGCAATACAAGGATAACTGGAACTTTTCTTTCCAGCCAAATTACACTCTTTCATTCCAGCTCCTTCTTGTCTGGCCAGAACATTCATGAAGGGGGAAAGGTGCAAAACATAAGTAGAATAAAAGGCCAAGTCAAAATATTTGGGTATAATTTCTTGCCAGGATTTTCTACCTCTGGTCATGTGTAAATGATATTATTTGGGTGTTTCCTTATAAAACCAGGGATTGAAATGAAACTGAGCAGGTGTTATTGGGATAATAATAGAAGAAAGGAAAGGAAACCTTTATTCTGCTGGAACTGCCTGAGGAATAATTATTACCCAATAATGAGACCTAAGATACTTTGATTAATCTTCCTAATCTTAAGAAAACTTACTTTGAATTTTACCATTTTATGTGTTTATTAATGATAACATGATATATTTAGACATTTTAAGACAATCAAAGTGTTTAATAATATATTTGAGATTTATATACTATTTAAAATTTTATGTAACAGGTATTTCATTCAATCCTATGTATACTATCTCTTGTAAGCCTTATTACCAATTTAGCAGATGTGGAAACTCAAGACTCAGAAAGGTGAAGTTATTTGTGCAAGCTTACATAAGCTAGTAAGAAGCAGGTCGGGATTTGAATTCACGTTTTCTGACTGACCAAGTCTAACATTATTGGCTAATATAATTCTGCCTATCTCAATATCCTCTTTACCAAAATCATTCAAAGAATAGAATATATCCTTATTGGTGATTTTAAAAATATAGACCTAAATAAAATCAATCGATAGCCCTGTCTGAATAGCTCAGTTGGTTAGATTGTCATCCCAATACTCCAAGGTTGCAGGTTCAATCTCCAGTCAGTGCATGTACAAGAAACAACCAATGAACACATAAGTGAGTGGAACAACAAATCAATGTCTCTCTCTGTTTCTCCCTCCCTTCCCTCATCTCTCAAATCATTTAAATAGTTAAATATAGAATTTGTTGGATTTAACTATTTTCATCTCAATAAATAGATAATCTAATGGTTAAGTGATTGATCTGATTTTTGATTGGGGAATTTAATGCGAGGGTTACACAAAGGACAGGAATGCATTGGGCCCCCCCGTTCAGCTGGGATCATGGATATCAAGTTGTTTCTGTCTCTCTGCTCAATTTCTGTCTGTTTTTTCTTCTTCTATCTATTGGATACTTCTACCACTCAGATAGAATTGGTTACCACCAACCAATTGTGGGTTTATATTTTCTAAATTTCAGCCATGAGAAGGAGGATAATATTAAATTTTTTGTTCCAGTTTTTCTCTGGAAAAAACTCATATTGGCCCAGCTTGGGAGTCCCTATGCCTGGACCAGTCAACATTGTCCATGGGGAGGTTAGATTTGACTAATTTGGGGATTAGTAGTTTGATCATAATCATAAAGATGATAGAGAAAAGGGGCAGGCCCCTGCTATGTGGGTGCTTGGCAGAAAAAAAGCATCTGTATCTATGACAGTGTTAATCTAGTCCAAGCCTGTCATGTAACAGATAATGAAAAAGAGGCTCAGAAAAGTGGATTGACCAAGGCTAGTGAGAAATCCAGAACTGGATCACAGGTCTCCCGAGTGCCAAACTCATGTTCTTTTATTCAACAGACATTAACTAAGCATTTACTGTGTGCCAGACCTGGTTTCTGGTGCTCAGGCTGGTTATAACAGGAAACAACAACCACAGAAATTTTCCTTGTCCTCACCATACTACTCCTTAGATCAGATTGTCTTCTGATCTCCCTTTTTTGTTTCATTTTTTTTTTTTTATTAGAGAGAAGAAGTAGGGTTGGGTGGGGGGTGTTAAGAGAGACAGATATAGGTAGGTACATCGATGTGAGAAACAATGACTGGTTGCCTCTGGATTGGGCCTCAACTGAAAATTGAACCTGCAATCTGGGTATGTGCCCTGACCAGGAATCAAACCCACAGCCTTTCAGTGTATGGGATGAGGCTCCAATCAACTGAGCATCTGGCTAGGGCTTCTAATAGTCCTTCTTTTAAACAGTATCTTTTATTTAAATTACTGCCCCTAATCTTCCCTATAGAAAACTCCAGAACCCCTCGTCCCTGGCTCTTCACAAAATCCATATGAAGAGTGATTGGTTGCTTTGATAGACACCCAGTCAAAGATACACACTTAATATACACAAGGCTTTTAGGGATGTTTTCATCATATAGCAGGCATGTTGTAGGTGGAGAGGAAAAACTAAACACCTGTATTTAGTATTTATGATGCCCAATTTATACTTTTCCTTAAGGGAGGAGCATTTATATGTAACAATTGAAAATTCTTTGGAAATTTTGGGGAACATTAAAAAAGGGAAAGAAAGGAATGGACACTGAGTTGAGTATCCTATATAATAAAAGCCTAACATGCAAATCAACTGAATGATGGAACAACCATCAGAACAACCAGTCGCTATGATGTGCACTAACCACCAGGGAGCAGAGGCTCAATGAAGGAGTTTCCCCCAGCCTGCAGGCCCCAGGCCAGCCAAGGTGGGTGCAAGTGGGGACCCCAATCGCTCTGCCAGTTGCCCCACAGTCAGCCTTCATTGCTGGCCAGGCCAAGGGAACTTACCCATGCACAAATTTGTATACCAACCCTCTAGCTGGTGTATAATCAGATATCCTTTGCACTTTCCATTTGCTAGCTATGTGATCTTCAGAAGTTCACTTTAACTCTATGCCTTAGTTACCTAATCAATAAAATGAAAGTGGGGGTTAGGTAATCTCTATTAAAATTATTTATAAGTTGTACCTTTACATTGTTCTTTTTGTTCCTTTTTATTATTATAATTGATTTTTAGAGAGATGAAGGGGGGGGGAGAGAGAGAAAGAGAGAGAGAGAGAGAGAGAGAGAGAGAGAGAGAGAGAGAGAGAGAGAAACATTGATTGGTTGCCTCCAATATGTGCCCCAGCCAGGGATAGAACCAGTAATCTAGGTATGTGCCTGGCCAGAATTGAACTCACCACCTTTTGGTGTAGATAATAATGTTCCAACCAACTAAGTCACACTGGCCAGGGCCCTACTTTTGCTATCTTCTTAAAAGGATTGGTTGAGCAATTGATTGACCCTCATGTCCTCACAAGATGCCTACAACCAGGCTGACAGGGGGCTTAGTGAGGGATGACCAAATGCCTGAACAGTAGGCTGCGGGGGGTGACCAGATCAGCAGGGGGAAACAGTTGGGGGTAATTAGGCTGGCAGGGGGGCAGTGAGGGGCAACCAGGTTGGCAGGGGGGGCAGGTCAGTTAGGAGTGATCAGGCTGGCAGCCAGGGGCCGTGTTAGGGGCAACCAGGCTGGCACACAGAGGCAGTGAGGGGTGATCAGGCTGGCATGGGCGGGCAGTTAGAGGTAACCTGGCAGGCAGGCAGGTGAGTGATTAGGAGCCAGCAGTCCAGAATTGTGAGAGGGATGTCTGACTACCGGTATAGGCGTGATACTAGGGATAGGGCCTAAACCGCAGTCGGACATATCCCAAGGGGTCCCAGATTGGAGAGGGTGCAGGCTGGGCTGAGGGGACCTGCCTTCCCCCCATGTACAAATTTCATGCACTCTGCCTCTAGTTAAATATAAAATTCATTCCAGTTTCAACTTTCTACATTTTCAGGGTACCAAATGTTTTCTCTCTGCTTTATGCTAAGGTGATTAGCCTTGCATTTCACTATTTGTACACAGATCCTAAGTGATCTAATTATGTTCATTAAATCAACCAGATTTCTTTGAAAACAAGATGGCTTTGTCTCCCAGTGCTAGCATTATAATGAGTTGCTGCTGTGATTTTTAAAATGTCTATTTAGGTAGCCAAAAAATCTCACACTGGTCTAACATGGAAAAACGTCATACTTCCAAACAATTTCTTCCTCCCCATAGTAGATGGTTAAGATATAGTATGAACATGTAATTCATATTATTGGGAATAATTCATATTTTTTGTAGAAAATATGTTTTTTTTTTGTTTGTCTTTTTTTGAGAGAGAATATAAGAGAGAGGGAGAGGGAGAGATAAACATTAATGCAAGAGAAACATTGATCAGCTGCCTCCTGCATGAACCCTGACCTAGGACTGAACCCCTAACCTGGGCATATGCCCTAATGGGGAATCTAACCACTGACCTTTGGTGCACTCAACCATCTGAGCCACATCTGCCAAGGCTAGGCTTGCTTTAATTTCTTAACTATTTGGGTACACAAGTCTTTTGTCTGATTTGCACATTTCTTTTGTCTGATATCAGAACATTTTCATATTGAATTCTATAACAAATGATCTTGGATTCGGCATTTACACACTGCCCTTTGTTCTCTTGACTACAGGAGCTGGCTGGCTCTGCCTTGATGGGCCCTGGAAGGGACAGCGTGTGAAATGTGCCAGTTCCCAGAAACAGCACACAGTCTCTGTGGCCGGATTCTGGATAGGCATTCCTGGAAGCAGCCACTCAGGAGTGCTACTTTTAGCAACAATAGCAGCTAAGATATGATGCTTGAGTCAGGACATTGTGCTGTATCTTTTCTAAATTTCTTGAATGAGGCACTGTTTGTGGGTACTTACTAAACTCACAGCTGAATGCTAGTCTTCATGTAACATCAGTGCTTTCCCACTCAAAAGTGGTCACAGAGCAAACCTTTTGGAGTAACATCTCGGCATCAAAAACCTTAAAAAATACACAAAACTTAGCCCAGCTGTCATGGCTCAGTGGTTGAGTGTCGACCCATGAACCAGGAGATCAGGGTTTGATTCCCAGTCAGGGCACATGTCCAAGTTTTGGGCTCAATCCCCAGTGGGGAACATATAGGATATAGTCAATCAATAAATCTCTCTCATCATTGACATTTTTTTCTCTCTCCCTCTCCCCTCCTCTCTGAAATTAATAAAAATATATATTTTTAAAAAAACCTTAAAAATACACAAAATATATCTTAGTAATTTTTCTCTTAAGTATTTATCGTAAGAAAATAAAAGTGTAGTATAGTGGCAGCACTAAAAATGCAATAAATGTTAACTGTTGTTATAAAGATGGTCATTACAATCCTATATAATAAAGAGCTAATATGCAAATGGTCATCATGCCCTTGCACCCTCATGCCCTCACACTGGGGCAGGGGACCTGAGGCCATGCTCCCCTGCCTGGCGGGGTTTGATAGGGGACTTGAGATTGCACCCCCCACCCTGCGGAGCATGTGGGTGGGTGGAGACTTGATTTTGGGTCCCACAGCATGCCACAGATTCTGACAGGAGGGAAATTTTCATATACATTTTATAGATTTTCTTTTATCTCTGACACTTCTATTATAGAGAAAGGGCAAATAACACTATTAAAATATTTCCTCTAATTAATTCTTTTTAATGTGCATAAATTTTGTGCATCAGGCCGCTAGTATGATCTATAATAGTGAACACTTACATTAAACCTAAATTTCCAAGAAAAAGAGATTGTTTAAATGAATGATACTATGTCCTTACAATGTACCATGGGGTAACCATTAGAAAGTATGTCAGTGGTTTCCAAATTTTGGTATGCATGAGAATTCTCTGAGGAACCTATTAAAAATGAAATATCCCAAGTATTCTAAGAATAATAGGATAAAGGAAACTTCTACAGTAAGACAAAGTCAGGGTTCATACATAAACTCAATATATATTATATCAGAAATATTAATTTTGCATAAAGAATTATTCTTTATGTCAAAGACTTGATAGGTAGTCTTAACCAATCTATCTCACAATCTATCTCTCTTTTTTATTTTATTATTATTTTATAACAAATATTTATTGTTCAGATTATTACAATTGTTCCTCTTTTTTCCCCTTATAGCTCCCTTCCACCTGGTTCCCACCCCACCCACCTTCTGCCCTTACCCCCCCACCCTGTCCTCATCCATAGGTGTACAATTTTTGTCCAGTCTCTTCCCACACCCTCCACACTCATTTCCCCCCAAGAATTGTCAGTCCACTCCCTTTCTATGCCCCTGATTCTATTTTATTCACCAGTTTATTCACTTGATTTTTAGATTCACTTATTGATAGATATGTATTTATTGTTCATAATTTTTATCTTAACCTTTTTATTCTTCTTCCTCTTCTTAAAGAATATTTTTCAGCTGAAACTGGTTTGGCTCAGTGGATAGAGTGTCGGTCTGTGGACTGGAAGGTCCCGGGTTCGATTCCTGTCAGGGGCATGTGCCTTGGTTGCAGGCACATACCCAGTGGGGGGTGTGCAAGAGGCAGCTGATCAATGATTCTCTCACATTGATGTTTCTAACTCTCTATCCCTCTCTCTTCATCTCTGTAAAAAAATCAATAAAATATATTTTAAAAAAATAATATTTTTCAGCATCCTATATAATAAAAGAGTAATATGCATATTAACCACTACTCTGCTACACCCACAAGCCACCCCACCAGCCACATTCACCAGCCAGTCAGAGCGAGTATGCAAATTAACTCAACCAAGATGGCTGTAGCCACAGAGAGCAGAAGGGAGGCTTGGGTTTCCCTGGCATTGGAGAAAGCCAAGCCAAGCTTTCCACACACCCTGGCTGGCCCAGGCCTCCACTCAAGGGTACAACATTTCAATTATAGAAGGTAAATAAATTCTAACAGAAATGGCAGCAGCCACAAAACTGGAAGAGCAGGAGGCTAGGGTTGCCCCAAGGAATGGAGGAAGCCAAGCTTCTGCAGCCCTGGCCGGCTCAGGCCTTCACTCCAGGCTACAAAGTTTCAATTATAGAAGATACATAAATTCCAACAGAAATGGCTGCCGCCACAGAGTGAGCAGGAGGCTTGGCTCCGCTCCAGAAGTTTCAATTGTAGAAGGTAAATAAATTCCAGATACCAGGGCCTCTGCTTGGGTCGTCGGGGGTGTGGTTGGCCTGGAAACCACCCTGCACCCCAAGGGAACCCCACCCTGATCCAGGACATCCTTCAGGGCAAACCAGCTGGCCTTCACCCATGCACCAGGCCTCTATCCTATCTAATGAAAGAGTAATATGCAGATTGACCATCACTCCAACACACAAGATGGCTGCCCTCATGTGGTCAAAGATCCTGCCCCCATGTGGTCTCAAGATGGCTGCCACAAGATGGCCAGCAGGAGAGGGCAGTTGGGAGGGACCAGGCTAGCAGAGGAGGGAAGTTGGGGGCAAACAGGTGCCCAAATGAGGCCCAGCTGTGAAGCAATGCAAACTGCTGCAGGGCCTTGGGCCTTCTTTTGGATGTTCTGGGTCTCACTGACTCAGAAAGATTGTTAAGTAAGTTTAGATTTCAGAAGACCAGGCCATTCATATGCAAAAGCCTCTTCACTTAGCTGGGATGGGGCAGAGTCTCAGGGTGGAACAATCAGCAATGGTTTCGTGGGGTAGGAGATCAGGGCGGAGCAAACAGTGATGGCTTCCTGTCAGCCCTGCCCTAAGAGGCCCCTGGGTCTCAGTATTCCAGGTAATCACTGCAAGCACCCCTGAGAGAAAGCCGCCCTCAAGTGTTGCCCTCTCCCAGACATTCAGTTTCTTCTTGTATGTGTCTGGGTCCCCAGAGTCTTGCCTGGAACTGGAGTTTAGAGCAGTCGGAATCTTTTGTCTCCCTCCTGATTGAGAAAGCCAGCCGCACACTCAGTTGCCAACCCTTTCCGAGTGCGTGCCTCCGTACCTCTGCCTTCTGCAGCTCCTGTGAGTCTCGGTGTGCTTTTCTTTTTCCTTCCAGTTGTAGAATTTCTACTTAGCCAGCCTTCCTGTGGTTTTGGATGATGTACGTTTTGTCTTTTAGTTGTAGTTTTGAAATTGTGCGAGACATCAATTTAGGTGTTTATCTATGCTGCCATCTTGGTTTCTCTTAATCCATCTTTCTTGGTGGATTAAGAGAAACCCAGTTAAATCCTTCAGGCCATTGAAAATAGGCCTAATTTGAAACTGTATGTTGTTCAATGAAGTTTTCTTTAAATGGGCATTATTATAAAAGAAAGGCCTTATGCATGAAAATTTGCACAAATATGGGCCTTCCTTCCCCTGGCTGCTGGCACTGCCTTCGCTCAGGCTGGAGTTGATTTTTTGCTCTGGCCCAGATCCACCTTTCTGCATTCCCATGCTGCCCAGAGGCCTGGAGAGGCTGGGGCAGTGTGGAATGCCTGCATTGTCTCCGTGGTGATGATGCAAGCATCCTGCTTCCCCCTCCAGCCACTCAGCGTTGTGTATGCAAATTAACTCTACATCTTTGTTGGGTTAATTTGCATATTCACTCCTGATTGGCTGGTGGGCATCGTGAAAGTAAGGTCAGTTTGCATCTTACTCTTTTATTAGTGTAAGATGTCTTTTCCCCCAGTCCTCCAAATTATGTAATTCTCTATTTAGGTAGGTAAGTAGATAGATGATAGATAGATAGATATCTTTTAAAAAAATATATTTTATTGATTTTTTACAGAGAGGAAGGGAAAGGGAGAGAGAGTTAGAAACATTGATGAGAGAGAATCATTGATCAGCTGCCCTCTGCACACCCCCTAGTGGGGATGTGCCCACAACCAAGGTACATGCCCTTGATCGGAATCGAACCTGGGATCTTTCAGTCCTCAGGCAGACGCTCCATCCACTGAGCCAAACCGGTTTCGGCAATAGATATCTTTTTAATTAAAGAATGACATTTTCCTTTAAGAGAAAGAGTTCATTTGGGGGAATATTTCACATGTGGGGCTATCTTTCAATCTGCCCTCTCCGTGTTTTCCTAACATCTGTATTGGAATGAAGAGTAGGAAGGTTGTGGCTGAGTATAGCAAAAACATTGAGCTATCAACTCAGAAGGTTGTTCCAGCCCATGGCAAATAACTATTTATCTGTAGCATCTATTTTGTCCAAAGAAATAGACATACTAGGGAAATGGCCAATACAGTGTTTAATAGAACAAAGAGGCCATTAGGCTGAGGTGGCTTCAATGCCTTAATAATCTACACAGCAAACTGAGCCTAAACCTGAAATGCCTCCAGATAAAGAAATTGGAATCTAAAAACAAGCAATCACAAACTAGGTTTTTCCAAATAAGGCAAGTGTTTAAGCTATAGTCAATCTAAGGATTTCTTTGCTTTGTTTATGCCTCATATATTAAAAAAAAGTCTTTGCACTAAAGAGCTGTTGCTAAAGCACTCCTAACTACGTCATGGTTGTCTCTGCCCTATTTCAATCAATTTTTGCTCTAATAAAATAAAAATGTAATATGCCTCAGCTTATCTTTTAACAACAGGGTTTGTTTTCTTCCAGATGAACCATTACTTCAAAGACCAATATAATCGATTTTATATGACACTGGGAAGTCCAAAGTATTTCTGTCTTCTGGGCATTCCTTGCTGCTTATCATTATTGTCCCAAATCATAGAGCTGACCCATAGCAACAGAGAGACTCAGTGAGTATGACATGTCCTATTTTAGGAAGGAGATTAAACTCCTAATTTCTTATTCCTTCCCAGGCAACAACTTACCTACTGGCAGCATTTTTGTAATTATGTAGTAGTGCTTATCTGTGCCAGACACTGCTCTAATTACTTCCCTTAGGTTCGTATTTACATATTCAGTTCTCACTCTGTAAAGTGGTAGCACCATCACTCAGCCCCATTTTACTGACGAGAAAATCTCATCGGGAAGGTTAAGATCACACATTTACACACAGATGATCCGTAAGGATTTGAACCCAAGTATTCTGAGAGTGTTTGCATGTAAATCTCCAAACCCCAATCTTAGGCGCACAATTCTAAGGCTGACTTTTGCTTCCACTACTGAAGAAGCTTTTAGAGGAGGGAATGCAAATGAGTGAGTGGTAGAAAGAAGCACCTCAGGAAAAAGAAGCAGAGAGTGCTGAAGGTTGCAGAGAGCACTGTCCACCCAGGAACCTGGTCAGAAATCCTGCTGTTCTCTGCCTCTGAGTGAATGAAGCCCAGTTTCCTATTTTGTAAAAGCTGATAATAATAGTCCTTTCATCATGTCCTCATAGTGAAATAAGATGATATATGCCCAGTAGGCACAGAGAAACCTTAGCTGTCCCCCTACCCCTACCACCAATCAAAGGCAAAGAAAGAAACTTGAGATCTTTGAATTTACTAAATTGAAGAGACAGATTTCTGAGTAAATTTTGCTAAGGACTGCAAAACAAAGCAATAGTGCAAAAACAAACAAACAAAAAGGCAGGCATTTATAAAGATGAATTTTCGTAATTTCAAATGTCCTAATGCTTTCTTCATATATATATTGCCTTTCCTTCTCACTCTACTTCTTCTTCCACCTTGTTCATTTTCCCTTTATTTCTTAATAGAATTCTTTTTGAAAACCTCCAGCTTTGACTTCGCTAAGAGGGAAGGAGGGTACATTTCTACAGAGGCCAGAAATCTATGGAAAGCAGACTGCCCTGGGGGACCTCCATCTGCAAGACAAAAACATAAAAAAGCTGGCTGAGCTGGAGATGAATATACACTAGAGCACATGTGTCAAACACAAGGCCCACGGGCCAAATCCTTCCCGCCAGGCCTTGCAATGTGGCCCGCACCGCGCTGTCATCACTGCACTCCGCTGCGTTTCCATCACAATGACAGTTTATGACTGTTCAGTAAACCATTCGGCCCGCGATTTAGGCTGGATTTTAGATTTTGGCCCCTTCTCTGATTGAGTTCGACACCCCTACACTAGAGGAAGGAAGTGTGGGGATGACTAAAAATTGTAGATTCTTCCTGGCCCCAAACTGACTTTCCTAAGTCCATCTTATGTTTCCTTTTCTATTCCCTTAGAATCATTTAAGTTGTTTCAGGCACACATATCTCATTTGCCATCCACATTGCTTGTTGGAATAGGAAAATGCATCTTGCCCTAACTGGTTTGGCTCAGTGAATAGAGCATCAGCCTGCAGACTGAAAGGTCCCAGGTTGGATTCCAGTCAAGAGCATGTACTTTGGTTGCGTGCACATCCCCAGTAGGAGGTGTGCAGGAGGCAGCTGATGGATGTTTCTCTCTCATCGATGTTTCTAACTCTCTATCCCTTTCCCTTCCTCTCTGTAAAAAAGTCAATAAAATATATTTTTAAAATAAAATAAAATAAAATTAATATTCTCCTTTGCTTCTACCTCTGTGTGTGAACAAGAAAGTACAGGGCTTTGGGATCAAGGAGCCGTGGGTTGAACTTCAGCTCACTACTTATTAGAGAGGTGACCTTGAGTACATTATTTAAACTCTCTAACATTCTTCCTTTGTAAGTGGGCATAAAAACAGTAATAGCTACCTAAGTTTGTTTGATTGAGATAATATGTGATAAACACTAGCTTGGGAGTGGGGTCTAAGAATAATTAATTATATGGTAGCTATAATGATTATATTTTAGTCTACTTTTTTCTCCAACAGTTGCCTAACTATGTATTCAGTTTAATAAGGGTTTGTCAGGTGAACTATATAAATGAAATGAAGATATACTAATTAGTATATCCTATATAATAGCAAAAGATATCCTATATAATAAAAGCCTAATATGCAAATAGAACAAACGGTGGAACAACCAGTCACTATAATGTGCACTGACCACCAGGGGGCAGATGCTCAAAGCAGGAGCTGTCCCCAGCCTCCAGGCTCCAGGCCAGCCAAGGCAGGTGCCAGTGGAGCCCTCCCCTCTCCAATTGCCCCACCAGTCACCCCACAGATAGGCCTGATCACTGGCCAGGCCAAGAGACTCTATCTATGCATGAACTTTGTGCACCAGGTCTCTAGACTATATATAAATAATATGCTAAGTGTCTGATCATCTGACCGGTCACTATAACACCCACTGACTACCAGGGGGCAGACACTCAATGCAGGAGCTGCCGTGATGCGCACAGAGAAATGGCACTGTGGACCTGGTGCCCACAAAGCAACACTTGGCTTCCTCCAAGTGGGACACAGGCCTTGACACCACCCTGGAGTGACACCCCACCAAACTGTAGCCGATGCTGCTGAGATCCCATGGCACAAAATGCAGCCCCCAGCCCAGCCTAGAAATAGTGGCTGTGGGTGCCAGGTAATGACATCTCTTAGCAATGCCTAGCTTCCTCTCCCTAGAAACAACTAGCCTCCTTGAAATTTCTTCAGCCCAGGAACACAACTTGCTTTATAGCTAGGTGCAAACATTTTACACTTTAACCAAATGTCTGTGAAGCGTTTTCCCATGCCTTATCTCATTTGATCCTCACAGAAGTCCTGGAGTAGGTAGATAGGAGATTCAGTGGAATCTTATTTTCTTTTCATTGGTCGGAAAATGGAGATTTAGAAAGTTTAGAAACTTGACCCCACTGAATAAAAAGAAAGAAATGGTGGAACATGAAAATGACTTCAGGTTTTCTCACTGTGAAGAATATAAATATTTTCTCACTGCTACATTTAAATATGTCACCCTTTGTTCCCCCATGTGATCTATAGTAATAATATGTTGTATGTTGATATTTACTGCTGTATTGCTGACAATTACCTGAAAGAGAAGTTGGGGTGCTTCACTGGGCTGGAAAAAGTTTAGTATATTAGAAAGCAGGTCTAATTAAGCAAGTTTATTTTATATATATAAAAGGCTAAGTTGACTTGTGCATGCATGATACATATAAAGCTCTCACTGGCACCAATCACACACATGTGTTTCGATCTGTCACTATCGATTGTGAATTTGGTTGACACTTTCATTATAGAGAAAGGATGACTAGCGATATTAAAATATTTCCTCTAATTAATTTCTTTTTAATGTGCATGAATCCATGCACCAGGCTTCCAGTATTATAGAAAAAGGCTTAATCTTTTCCAGGAGTTTGAAGAATTTTAGGTTATGTTTTCAGTGATAACCAGAAAGGGAAACACAGAAACATGAAAATAAATACAGGGTGATATCCTGCCCAGGCGTCATAGTGGTTAGGACATCTTATTTACATATACAATTTTTTATTGTCTTAACTACATTAGTAGACTACCATATAATTTGATAAGTTAAAAAACAGGACTTGGTTTCCATCGAACTAATATAACTAACTTAAAACTGAATAACTCTGTTCAATTTTAAAAGTTGAAAGAGTCCTTAGATTCCTATCACCTACCCCTTAATTAGCAGTTTTTTTTGGGTAGATGAGGCTAACAAGCAGGTGCCTTTTTTTGTCTCTAAGTGACCTGTTATTTTCATTCCACTTCAGTTAAATATTTTATGTGCATATACCATGTACTAGGCACCTGGGATTCAAAACAAGCCAGCCACAATTGTATGCCTGGAAAACAAAAATAAGATTGCAAACATATTGAGTGCATGGAAATTGTGCTCTTGAGGAATGTGGCTGTGCTCATGTCTACTTATTATAAGGCTAGAGTGTGATCCATGTGACCTTTCCTACTGTGTCCTGGTGATAGAACTCTGTGTTCCTAAGTATTTTCCAGGTTGTTGGTTTACTAGGTTAGGCCGATGTTTATTTTTCATCTTGTGAATGACAGTCAAAATGTATGCCCCAGAGTCAGAAGCTTGGGTGAGCCATTTGCTAGGGCTTTGAAAACCACCTTTCTCTGTCACACAAGCAGTTGTTGTAATCAAATTGGCTCTATGCCTAGAGCAGGCTGTGTGACTCAGTGACAGTTGCGATCAGAGCATGGAGCTGGAGACAAAGAAGTCATAGATCAGGAAATCACAGTGACGATGGTTAATTGGGATTGGACGGCTTTATGTGAGTGGGGTGTTTTTTAAAGAAAACTTTAAAAAATACCATTCATTGAGGACACACTTAATTCTGTTACTTTTGCATGAGATTTAAACTTTTGTCCTAGTAACCCTCTGTTCAAAACTACAAGGGATTCTATACTAAGGGAGAGCTCCAAATGCTGTAACAACTATTCATCACATCCAGTGATTTGAGATCCATGTTTGGTAAGGGACTGTGTGCCTCTTCTCACTTGAATTAGATTATTTATGTTTCAAAGTCACTTTGATTTTATCATCAACCCCAAGCTAGATTCAATTCATTCCAGTAAAGATAATATAATTACTTACCAAGAGAAATCTTAAATCAGAAGTCTTAAAATGTCTTGAAGTTCACAACATGTATATTTTGCTAAAAATGATCAAACACTTAACTTTCATGATTACCAATCTAGTTATTAAGTTATAAATGTACATGGCAAATGATAATAAAGATATAGATTTGCAACTATTGGTGACTGTAAGGTGAAGGAGTCTATAAAAAATTAGGGAAGGATGGCTCTCGGCCTTAGCGCCATCTTCCTAGAAACCTCTGCGCCATGAGAGCCAAGTGGAGGAAGAAGTGAATGCGCAGGCTGAAGCTCAAAAGAAGAAAGATGAGGCAGAGGTCCAAGTAAACCGCAAGCTGTGCACCGGGGAAGCCACAGGAGCAGAAGAGGGAGGCCAGAGGCCCGGGGCCGGTTCAAGCTGTCGGACTGCCTGCCTACATCTCCGTGGGATCTGGAACATGCATACGGGCCATCTGAACACCACCGCGGCCGCTTTTTGAGAGTCCCACCCTGCTCTTCCAAAAAGTCTCTCTTGGACCTTTGCCCCTGACCCCTGACACTCTGGACTGGTTCTGTTCTCAGTTGTGGCTGAATTTAACGTGCACAATAAATCATCTCCTGTCTTAGCTGAAGAAAAAAAAAAAATTAGGGAAGGATGAATAAGGGTGTCAAGTTGTGGTGGCTATAATGCAATTACTTTTTTTTTTTTTTCTTTCTATTTTTACTATGTCAATTATATGGGCAAACAAGGTAGAAAATACTCTGATAATACCAGAGGCACCATCCTTCATTGTGGTTGGGTAGAACCACTATACTATGGGTAAAGATAATTATAAATGGGAACAGGCACTAGATTCTGAAATACAATAATATCCCGCATAAACTTAAAATATAAGTTTGGGTATAAGGGAACAACTATTTTATACTGTATTTGGTGTGTATTTGGTGTGAAATGCTCTTATAGCACCTTAACACAGTTAGAGATCACTGAAGTAGATTTTAATATATATATATATAATATTTCAGATAGAGAGAGAAAGAAACATCAGTGATGAGAAGGAGTCATTGATTGTCTGCTTCCTGAATGCCCACTACTGGGGATTGAGCCCTCAACACAAACATGTGCCCTTGACCAGAATTAAACCTGGGACCCTTCAGTCTGCAGGCTGATACTCTATCCACTGAGCCAAACCAGCCAGGGCAGAGAGGAAGATTCTTTTTAAAAGCCATTAAAAAAGGTCTGGAGAATTGTGATGCAATTTGAGACAAATAATTAATTTATTTTTTCATTCTTCTTCCTTCCCAAAGGAATTTTGTTTTTGTAATTGTCCATTATTTGTAGATGAAAATTTTATATTTTACTAGGAATATACCTGTTTGCATTGAATAATATCTCTTCTTCGTAATTATTATCAACATCATCTACAGAAACATCATTCAACAAATATTTATTGAGCATGTGTTATGTTCCAGGGTCTTGGAATTCTTCTCTAGGGTCTTGGAATACAATGACGAACAAAATGGACAAAAATGCCTGCCCTCGCTAAATTTACATTTTAGAGTGGGGTGATTGACAATAAATGCTAAATCTAATAAATAAATAAATTAAATAGTATCCAATATAATAAGGAGGTAATATGCAAATTAATCCTCATGCTGTCACAAGATGGCTGTGCCCACAGTGGAGCCAGAGTTCCTGTAACAAGTGATCAGCAGGGACCTGAGGTTGCATGGCACTAGGCCAGGACGGGGAACCTCAGGCTGTACCCTTTGTCCTGGGCCAGGGGACCTCAGGCTGTGCCCCCTGCCCAGCGGGGCTTGACTGGGGATCTCAGGCTGTGCCCTCTGCCCTGGTGCTGGACTGGGGGACCAGAGGTGGACCAGTACACGAGGCTGTGCCCCCATCAGGTGCCAGGCCAGGGGACCTGAGGCTGCACCTCCTGCCCAGTGGGGCTTGACAGGGGTGGGGCTGGCCAGGTCTGGATCTCACCCAGGGGTGGGGCCAGCGTCTGAGTCTCGTGTGATTTCGAGGTGTGCGTGGGTGGGTGGGGACTTGACTCTGGGTCCCATGGCATACCACAGACTCTGACAGGAGGAAGGTTTCCATATACATTTTACTAATTTTCTTTCATCTCTGACACTTCTATTATAGAGAAAGGGCAAATAGCAATATTAAAATATTTCCTCTAGCCGAAACCGGTTTGGCTCAGTGGATAGAGCGTCGGCCTGTGGACTGAAAGGTCTCAGGTTCAACTCCTGTCAAGGGCATGTACCTTAGTTGCAGGCACATTCCCAGTAGGGGGTGTGCAGGAGGCAGCTGATTGATGTTTCTCTCTCATCGATGTTTCTAGCTCTCTATCCCTCTCTCTTCCTCTCTGTAAAAAATCAATAAAATATATTTATATATGTGCTGCCGAAGTGAGCACTCAATAAAATATATTAAAATAAAATAAAATATTTCTCTAATTAATTCCCTTTTTATGTGCATGAATTCTATGCACCAGGCCACTAGTGGAAACATAAAACAGTATAGCAGGGTAAAAGGAATCAGGAGTGTTGAGATAAGAGAGTTGCCATTTTAAACAGAGTGATTGAGATAGGTCTCACTGAGAAAGTAACATAAAGGAAGTGAGAGAGTTGGTCACATGGTTATCTATTGGTAGAGCATTTATTTTTCTTTTTTTTAATATATTTTTTATTGATTTCAGCGAGGAAGGAGAGGGAGATAGAAACATAAATGATGAGAGAGAATCATTGATTAGCTGCCTTCTACACGCCCCCAACTAGCAATTGAGCCAACAACCAGGGCATGTGCCCTTGACCAGAAGTGAATCCAGGCCTCTTCAGTTTGCAGGCCGATGCTCTACCCACTGAAGTAAACTGGCGAGGGCAGTAAAGCATTTCTAGGAAAGAGGGAATAGTCAGTGCAAAGGTTCTAAAGGTCATTGTTTTCATGTGGCTTGCTGTCTTCTTTATTCAAGGTATGGTATGCTACTCATAGGAAGGATATTGTATTATATTTTATGGAATTGGGAGAGAGATACACTGTTTCCTAACTTTCTATTCTGGGTTTCTAACCACTAATGCCTCAAACATCTGTGATTTTGGGCTCATAGAATGATTGTGGCCAGTCTTTGCCATATTTTATGGTGTTGCTTGCCCCCTTGAACATGCATACAATAGGAAACCAATTTGACTACATGGTATTAATTTTTTTCTTTTTGAACAGTTTGAGAAGGAACAACTGTTGCTTACCATCTATATTTACCAATATAAGATGAATATACTGTAAGAATTATTATTGCCTCCCCAAAATATAATTGATGAACTTGGCAGCATCATAACAAGATAGTAAATGAATGATATGGGGCATATATATATATTTCTTTTTTATGTGGCATTTCTCCAAAATTTATTCTTTAGTAATCTTCAAAGTACATGTGTTATATTGGTAAGTATTTAATATTAATTTCAGATGCAGAAGTATTATCTTAAACCATATGATAAACTCTGAAATAAAACATTTCTGTGGCATTGTGGCATCCTTAGTATAAATGAGCAGTGGTAAATTGTTACCCTGTATGTATGATATTGAATATATGTACACATGGGTGCATGTGTGTGCACATATATAAGGGGAAAATAAGAAACTCTAGGGAATGTAAATAAAAATTAAAGCACACATATGCCTTGTCCAGACAGAGCATACCTTATTAGGCAAACCATAAAAATCATTAAAATTTTTTTGGGTGGGCACTTACTGTTGGTGGCTACTCTGGTAAGAGCTCCTGTTCCATTGTAGATCTTGAATTAAGTGTGCTTTCAGAGGGAGCACAATAAATAGGCAACAATAAAAACCGTAACTACCACCATGCACTGCGTGCTTATTACTTGCCAAGGAATGTGCTAAGTGCATGTACTTGCATTATCGTATTATTGCAACATTGCATAATTTAACCCTATGCAGTAAATACTATTACCATGGACAGAGAGAAAACAAAGGCTTTAAGGAGCTGAAAAACTTGTGTAAAACGTTAGAGCTGGTACATTCTGGATCATGGGTTGGAACCCAGATATTGTCTTTAGGGTCCTTAGGCTTGACCACTGAAAAGGATCTGAGAAGTTGTGTGAGAATATTGGAGTCAAATGAGATAGACAAATTACTTAACCTTTGAGACTCAAAGGTTAATAGTATAGCTACTAATATCTAATGTATAGTACCTATAGTATTGTAGTATCTATAGATACCTGTGGATACTAATACCTATAGTACTAGTATCTAACAGCATAGATTAGCAATTTTCAACCTTTCTCATTTCATGGCACACATAAATTAATCACTAAAACTCTGAAGCATATCTAAAAAATGTTATATTTTTTGCCAATCTGACAATAAAAATAGGTTGAATTTTTACTCATTCACACCAATGGCTATTGTTATGTTGACTGTTGTCATTTTTTTTTTATTTGACATTTAAGGGAAAAAATTTCAGTGCCCCTGACTTAAATAGTCAGGTATTGCATGTTTTATAATTCATGAGGCACACTGCAGCAAACCAGTTGGAATCATTGGTCTAGATTAGGGGTGTCGAACTCAATCAGAGAAGGGACCAAAATCTAAAATCCAGCCTAAATCGCGGGCCGAATGGTTTACTGAACAGTCATAAACTGTCATTGTGATGGAAACGCAGCGGAGTGCAGTGATGACAGCGCGGTGCGGGCCACATTGCAAGGCCTGGTGGGACGGATTTGGCCCGCGGGCCTTGTGTTTGACACATGTGGTCTAGATAATAACATGTACTTTGCCAAATTGTCATAAGACTAGAGATAGTGCGTGTGCCTAACTCATGGTTGCTATTCAATAAATGATGATGTTTGTGATTTTACTGCTATATTTGAGTTTAAACAGAGTTATAGAGGAAAATAGCTATGCCAAACTGAGTGCACCTAAATTTTTCCTTTTCTCATTAACCAGGGCTACATTAACCAGTGTGACCATTGTGAGAGGAAAGAAGACCAGGAAGTGCATGCTCCTTCTGCTTTTTGCACAACTTAGAAAATTATGTCCATTTATTTAATTTATACCAGAGCTTTTGGCATCTGTAAAGTCTTCCTCTGGAAGAAACAGACAACAAACTAATGTCCCAGGGAGGGAGAAACAATGAGCTAATTCATGAATTAAGGATGTAGTCACAGTGTGCTCTTTTGGCCAATGATAGTAACTTGTTAGCTTACCACCAAACCAGGATCACCACTATTACCAGAGAAAGTGCTGCTCAAGGACAGGTCAAGACATACATTATATTGTAAAACTGAAATTCAGAGATGTTTAGGATGCTCAGAGCTAAGATGATTTACAATAGGGAATTTTGCAATATAGTTAG